TGTCAAATAAATAAAATCTTTAAAAAAAAAAGATTCAATGAAAAATCTAACCCTTTTATTTACTTTTAAAGATACAAATGTTGAGAAGCCTTATGAACATGTATGCACACATGCATACATATGCCTTATGCATGTACATGTATATAGAGCTACACATACATGCACACAAACACAGAGATGACAATTTTATTATGGTAAGGTTATTTTTTTAAATCTTCTTCCAAGTAATGGTAAAATAACATAGGGAATCAACAAGGAATTTATTTTCAGTGATCTCTCAGCTGAGTAACTAATGCCTTCTTCAGTTATATTGGAAACAAAAATTTGAAAAATACATGACTTACAAAAGGTTTGTTACTCTATTCTGAGAGTCATTTACTTTCTGAATTTCCTGGAAGTAAAATGATTTTATCAGACTCACCAAATGACTGCTAGATATTTCTACTACTCTTACTCAGGAGTACCCTGTGTAGCCAATCAATATATTCAAAAAGGGTGAAGAAAAATCAAAATATTATAAATGGTAATGATTTTGGATAAAATGATATTGTCTTATGTACCTTTAAATGTATGTCTTACTTTAGGTATATTTCATCTAGACCTTGGATGCTGCTCACTTTATTTATAAAAAATGTTTGCCATGTTAGCTAATGGGACCAGCCTTTGTTTTCAAACCTCTTACTCAAATCAAATTTACCTCTCTCAAAAAAATGTAATTTTGTTTTGCAGTTCAAAAAATTTTAGTTTGCATCTTGAGGAAATTATCAAGAAAGAATAAATTTTGCAACACACCTGGAAGATATGTTATTAAAAGTAGATGAAAAGACTAAAATGACATAGATTTAATATAATAAATTTATTTTGAAAATAAGTTATAAAAACAAGAAAAACCAATATTCTATTGTAAATTATTTTATTTGTACTAATGTCATGTAATATAGAGGTAAGATTTTAAACTTTTTGTGAAACCAAGATATGATAAAGAGTTTGACATTTCAGCAATACATGTGTGAAGGGGATATCAAATTCTAATGTTTTACTTTTGGGACTAAATAAATAAGTTTCAAATATAAAAGAAATAACTTTAATAATTTTCTTAGCTACCATCAAGTTGTATAATTATTAAGGAAAAGAGAATATGTATTAAGTATATATATTTACATATACATATATAACCAATACAGCATATAATTTTATATTTTTTATTAATAGGAGGTAATAATACATATAAATAACATATAATGAATAAATGATACATAATGTAATATGCATATATACATACTTTCATATATGTATACAGAGAGAGTAAATTGGGTCTGCAAATAGCATCTGAGTTAATTTTTTGTCAATAGGAGATACAAAATATTAAACATCTTACATTAGATAAATAAGATGAGGTTTGACTACAATTAAATGTTTTATAATATAATTATATAAAGTATGTTTTAAAGTCCTTTTTGAACAATACAGAATTAATCTGAAAGGTATCACAGAAATGTGGCCTCTCTGGGTTTAGTTAATGCATCTTTAAAAGTTTGGTTGTGTCAGAACATATCCCAGTTATATTTAAAAGAATCAGTGTCACCAACCTACACCGCTGTGGTTGTTTCAAAGTGCTCTTTCAAGCCAATGGCACTTCCTAAGAGCAAGTATTGATAATAAATGAAAAGAATTACTTACATTTAAATTTTTAAAAGGCATTTTTAGCTTTCACTATTTCTTAACTATATTCTTTTTGCTTTGCTCTCATGGGAATCTTCCTCAAGAGCAGTGCAATCTTTCACATTACTCAGCTAAATAAAAGGCAAAGTCATGAAATGAAACTTATCATTGCTCCAGTCTCCTCCACTCTACCATATCTTTGGAGTCAGACCATCCCATCACGAAAAAGAGCACTTGTGTATCAGCACCATGATTCTCCTTTAGCAGATGTATGCAGGACAGAAAGGCCTATTGGTCTTTTGGGTGAGCATTCCAGCAATTTTAGGATGGGTGAAGGCTATTTCTTTATATTGTTAAGTGGAAGTACTGTTATGACCTTAGATGTGTTTTCAGGCAAATCTATGTTAGGAAAGCATACAAATATAATTTCAGTCCTTTATAGCTATCTGCACTTGTGTACCCCTTGGAAAGTGGGAGGTTAACATCCAAGATGTACACCTTCCAATGAAGAAACTATACAACAGGAGATTCCAGAAAACCAAAGCACACCTACCATATACAACATGTAATTGTTTCGGGAACTATGATTTACAATGGTACTTGTTTTTCATAATTGTAAGTTTGAAATAATTATATAAAAAATATACAATGTTTTATAATGATTCAGTGCCTTGGACTCTCACTGTGTAGTGTTTGGTAATAGAATTTACTATTTTTAAAATTTTGACAAGCTGAAAAATAAAGATGCATAAAGACACTAGGTACTACATCTCATACCCTAATGCTGTATTTATATATAACAACATAAGCCACAGAATTGCAGACTCAAAAATTTCATCCATGTTAATAATCTATTTAATAATCAATCCTGCAACCCTGAGATTAGTTGACTAGACCATTATTCCACATCAACTTAGAACTGCAATCTCCACCCACAAATAACAGGGTGGTTGAGTTTTTATTTTGATGAAAATAGCAACTGGACAAATGAAACTAAGATTTTAAGTCATTTAAATAAAATGCTTCATAAAGACACAGGACAGTTGAATAAACAATACCACAGTGTGATAATTTAGGTAATACAAAATGGCTAAATATTATTGAATATATCCTAATGGAGAGAGAGTATTCATGAGGAGATCAATAAAGAGTCATTTAAATGGATGAAAATGAAATGTTTTAGAAGACTGTTATTCTAGATTGCCAAAAAATGTATACTTCTTAAACCACAATTTTTAAATATGAAAATGTATTAAAAAGCCATCATAAAATAGGGATAAGCTCATAGCATCTTTTCTTTAATAATAATATTTAAAATATACCTTTTAAAACAGAATATAATTAGAAATGTTCTGCAAAATATTACACACTGCTTTAAAATTCTCATTGCCTCTATGACACTACAACGGAAAAGCTTATAAATAAAAAAATATTAATTATAATGAAATATATTTCCTTCAATCCACTTCAACCAATGTTCATTATTACCTAGCTTCTATACCCAAGGTAGGATATATAAGATGTTTCCTTAGATGTCCATTTTCTCATGCAACTTTGTGAATAATATTAAGAAAATATATTCAGATGATTTTAAGTCAATTCTTCTTTTACTATTCCTTCAAGACATTAGTGTACATGGTTTTAAACACATAGATCACTTGGACTGTTTTAACTAATGAACATTACTGACATCTTTTTCAAAAGTATCCCTAACAACTATTTAATAGTTTTTCTGTTGATTTTATAAAACAAGGCAATAATTTAAAGAATAATAATTAAGCAGCTTTGTGTGGATTTGCAATTTGTGCTAATCATTACATGAAACAATTTTGAAATAATCCCACAGAGAAATTCAAATCGAAAGGAAAGAACAGATTCGTTATTAAATTCTAGATATTTATTTATGGAGAATATGATCTTATGATATTTCTGTAGAATTCAATTTATAAGTAAGAAAATATTATTTGTTTTTCTCTCTTCCATTTCTAATTAGAACAGATACATAAACTGTTGTTTCCTGATAATGACTAGTAATTAATTAGCTTAAACTTTCACTATGTTCTAGGCCCTATCCATTGGAGGTCAGCTATAAAAAAAACTGTTTCTAACCTCAAGAATTTTATAAATGAATTCTAGAATTCTAGAATCTCTAAACCTGGATTTGATGGCTGAACTATGGCTTGAGTTCTCATCCTGGATTTGTGATCAAGAAACCTGTCTTCTCCTCTTGATAACTTCATAAACACTTTTCGTTTCTGGCTTTCCCACATTTGGGTTTCACTAGTTTAGCGCTCATTTGTTGGACAAGTTACAAATTCAAATTTTCTAAATTAACATACACTAAGTGGATTTTACCCCAGATAATGAGATAATCATCATCTGCTCAGACAAGGCTGAAGCTCCAAATTTGGATCCCACTGTTTGCATCTACAGTAGGTCTAGGCAGATAGCAACAGAAGCCAGCAAATTCTCCCCTGGAGTAAACACTCCCAAAAGCCTGCTGCTGAACATGTGCAGCAATAACTAAAACATCACAACTGTATCAAGTCTGGCTATGTGTTGGCTGTTTCTCTCTGACACCAACTATACCTTAGGGATGGTATCCCTTCTCTTTATTGTCCCTTCTAGACAATTCTTACTCCTTCCTATAATAATACTTGCCCTGTGAGGCTCTTGCCCCATAGCTATACCAGTTTTTCCTGGTCATATTGTTTCCATCTTTTGGATTTGTGATCATCCCAGTCAGTTATGGAAGAGCCTAGCAAGATCTATTTCTATAGGAAATCCGTCTATTACACATCCAAGTACATCCAGGTAACTCTATTCCTTTGGGATTATACATGACACATACTGACTGGATAGGTCTTTGCCTCCAAGATTATTCTTTTCTATACTATTTCACACACCCTGTCCCCTACTTATCACCTAAAAATGAAGAATACTAATAGTGAAAATAAAATAAGGAGGAAATGAATAAAAATGTTAAATCAAATCTGGCCACAGTGAGAATAAAGATCATGGGCATCATCATCTTCTGGGCCATTTCTGAGGCTACAGAATTCACTCCTCATTCCTGATTCCAAATCACATGGATCTGTGTGTAGATGGATTTGCACATCTCTTGAAGAAGGCATCAATTAAATAATAAACTGAAAAATAGTGGGATCAGTTTCATTGGAAAGAATCAAGTATTTCTCTGCCTAACTATAAATCTTGATCTAATCATTAAACAAAAACTGCACATTAAAAATAAATTAAGGCTACAACTCATGTAAAATACTTTTGAATCATGCTGAAAATCAGTATTACCACATTTTTAAAAGGTGAAAACAACCAACCTTTTTGTTTCAAGGGAGGCTCCTCTATTTCTCCTAAACCAAGACAAAAACAGTAAATTAGAAAAACTTTTAGCATAGCATAATACTGCCTCTCTTTTTCCATTTTCTTTTGTTCATTAAAAAAACCATCTATTAGTTTTGACATTAGTAGTCCTTATATTACTTTGCCTCCCAAATTCCAGTTTTTAAGTATAAACTTTGTGTATTTACATTTATATGAGATAGTTTCACTTTTATGAGTTCAATAAAATCGTGGCAGCAATCCAAATTATACATTACAGTTCGTATATCATGTTCATTTCAGTTCTCTATTGTTCATCTCGACCTCTCACTGGGGCCAAATACAAATTCAGACAAAGTCATAGAGAGGGCTAAAATAATAAGAGCTTTCCTGGTAGTCAAGGCTGAATACATGATTACTTTTTTCTTTTTTTTTTTTTTTGAATACATGATTTCTGATGACTAAGGCTGACCCTAAAAAATGTCATGTAAAAGACAGACTCATAACACTTTGTTCTTTTCACATCCCCTCGATAGTAGTTTATGTATGGTTGGACTTTATTTCCTTTTGTTTATTAATATATACGAGACAGTACATAGGTTAGTCGCATAATTGTTGTGACATTTAGAATATGTCCCTCCATTCTACACCTCCATTTGCTTCAATAATTTACTTTTGATTATGATTTTAATGTAACTGCTTTCTCTTTGATCATGAATATGACTTACATGTATAAAACATATGTCTATCAATTATTGTTATTTCAGTCTTCCTAAGGATAAACTTGAGAAATAGCTACTATTTTTTCCCCAAAGAAACATATAAATTGTGAGGTCTTTTTGTGAGTTTGTAGTAGTGCATAGTAAGACCCTCTCTACTATAGTGCTACACAAATGGTAGCATTTAATTTTGACATCTTTGCCATAATGGCAGATGAGCTGTAAGATGAAAGCCAAACAGGGACCAATTTACTGAGTTTGGTAGTCTGTTGATTATGCTGTTAGAACTCAGAAGTGTATTCATTTTGGTTTAGCCTGACCCCAGCGCTCATTTGTGTTTAAACTTAAGCAAACCACCGTAATGCGTAACTAATATTGTTCAAAGAAGTTAGGTGTGTTTCTATGCTCTTTGTACCTTTATCAATGTCCTCATCCCCATCATCATCATCTTCTTCATCACCCTCAGACGAGATGATATCAGACAACAAAGAAAAGAAGCCATAGACCCAGTCCGTGGTTTCTTCCACAGCATCATGTACAAGTTTTAGAGGATCTGAGCCAATCTTGGAAATTGAGCTCGCTAAAAGTAATTAAAAACAAGAGAAAAATTTTTACAATCATTCCCCAAAAACCTAAGAAAAGCTGTTTATCCTGATTTGTGCCTTTGACACAAAATGTCAATTTTATAAATGTAAATGTCTCTTGGCTACATTTTTTGGGGGACTCAGAAATAGAAACTATATTTTGTCACAGTATGCATGTGTATTCAATTAAAAGAAAAGTTACTGAATACTTATGGTACTGGACCCTATGAGGTTACCAAGAAAGAAATTGCCCTTGAGAAGTTTATAATATAAATAAGAGTTTAATAGAGGGCAAAATTAGGAATGGATTGAAATAATGTGCATCTATGTTATTCAAATTGCAATATACACCCTAAGTTATGGATGTTTGGGAACAGAAGATATCATCTTTGGCCCATATTATACTGGAAAGCATCATGGAGAAGATGCCTCTGTAAATTTTCAGGCAAACAAGAAGTGCCAAGTAGATGTAAGTAGCTGTGGCTCAAGTAAGACTGATAGGTCCATTTATTATAACTTGTGCATCAGGAAAAAACTGGAATTGTCAAGGTAGTATTCATATCAGGTTCCAGCTAGATGCAATTTGTTTATCCTTGTTAAGCATCCTAGTACCTGAAAATAAAAAGTATTTAAATGTCTAGTAACTTTAGTAGATGGAATTAGGGAAAACTGAAGTCTATAAATCTTCCGTTTTTTTGTATCTTAGGAGATGGAAACTTTTTGCAAAATGAAAGATTAAAAAATAAAAATCCAAGCCAATAGACATAATAGGTATGTCCAAAATGTTGTCATTCTCATTTTAATTATATGAAAATTACTCTGAGGCGGCAAGGACAGCCTCTAATATCTGATTGAAGAGGCGATCTATCTAAAAATGTGTTATAAGTTGCAACTGATTTTTTATCAATCTAAATTAAAATTTTAGATTTATGTTTTCCTTAAGTTTAAAAACTATTTTAGCTTTTCAGAGATTTTTCTTCCTTTGATATCTTAAAAACTAGAATTATATCAATATATGATATTATTTAAAGGTTAAGGACTCTAAAATTAGGCTTCTATTCTGATGGAGATGGGAAGTCACTGGAAGGTTAGAGTAAAGGAATAAAGTAATTTGACTTATGTAACTTCATTCTCTGTGTTGAGGATTGAAAGAATGCCAGGTTGAAAATAGGGAGAGCTACTGATACTGAGCCAAATGAAATAAGCACGGGGAAAGATGATGGTGATTTCTATCAGGATGATAGTGTGTGTGTGACATGTGGTCATTTTCTGAGTGTATTTAAGATAGAATTAATCATATAGGCTTACAGTTAGGCTCCTGGGTGTGAAAGAAACAGAGGGTTACAGGATAACTTCAGGGTTTTTGGCATGAAAAATAGGCACAATGGAAATGTCACTTGCTGAAATGGGGAGGTCTGGAGAGAAAAAGGGTTTTTTAGGGGTAAAAATACCTGAGCTTTAGACTTCTCAAACTTGAGTTGCCTATTAAACATCTATGTGGAGATGTAGATGTTTGTACCACCCAATATGACCTACAAAAGAGAATTCTCAGCTAAAGATAAAAATTTAGGAGTTCAGCAGAAGATAGAAGCTATCCAAAATCATGGTACTGAATGATATCACCAAGGAAGTGGACCCAGGAACATACTAACATTTAGAAGACAAAGAGATCAGTCAGAGGGATGAACCAGTAATTGATTATGACAAGGAGAGATGAGAGAGATGGAGACAGAGATATACACACACACACATCCAGAGAGAGAGAGAGAGAAGTAGAAAAAAAGAGAGTGAATGTCTTAGATGTCAAGTGAGGAAATTGTCTTGAGGAGGGTACAGTGATCAACTGGCAAATGCTGCTGATAGGCCAAGTAAGATGAAGACTGAGAATAGACCTTTACATTTAATGATGAGGATGTCATTGGTGACCTTCAAAGGGCTGTTTCAATGGAATACGTTCAAGACCAAACGGGAAGAATTTAAAGGTGGTAAATACACCTTACTATAAATGACAGAGTTTGGGCAATGTTTGAGAGTACTAGAATCATAGTGGTTTTCTGTTGTTTAACACTGTTAAAATGGGAAGAACATTCCATTTTACGCAGATGGGTAAGATCCTACGGAAAGGGGAAAAGTGTGTGCTCGCTCAGACAGCACATATACTAGAAAGGGGAAAAGTGATATAAGAGAAAGGATTTCTGGGGGAATTTTAATTTTATGTTTTATTTCGGGGGATTCACAACACTTTCAAGGATGCCAAGTTACAAAATGTTGGTTTCAGGGAAACTTATCTCCATGATTCAGTGACAATGTAACTTTACTCTTTGGACCTTATTTTACTGCATTCTGGAGAGTTTCATAGGAGCAAGATATGATAGTCTGAATGATGAGATTAAACCTTAGAGAAAGGAAATGAAATGGAATTTTATAATTGCAATTGAAAAATTTTAAAGAACTGTATGTAAGGAACTGGATTGTAATGGCACCATTAAATGTATTTTTTAGCATTAGTATATTTTTTATCTAATGGAAGAATATGGCAAATGGGATTTTTATGATCTGAATAGATTGAAACCATTTCCCCATTTCCCTTTTTTCTAAATGTTCACTGAGGAACTTAACAATAAAAATCCAACAAAATAGATATCAGTTTAATTATCCTTATGCCTAAATGCACTATATATACACACGCATATTGCTTGGTTCTAAAATAGTCAAGCCGGGATGTGTTCATGAAGTCAGTGTTGCTGGCTTGAGATCAGCCTCTGATTTTTAGTTATGTGGACAACGACTTTAAAAACATCGATATAGAGGTACATACAGATAATAGATACAGATTATAGGTACAACTTAAATAAGACAGTAGTCCTCAAGTTGATTCTAACTCCCTCTCTCGGATATCACATCCATATCATATCAATGGGAATAATACTATACAATGCAACTAAACCTTTTATTGATGTGGGGTTTTTTTAATTATATTTTCTTACCTCTCATGTTTCCATGAGTTAAATTAAATATATTACATTGAGGATCATCATAAAAATAATAGTGGTTAACACTTAGAGAGTGTATATGCCTGCCAGATACTACTCTAAGAACTTTATTTATATTAACCCACATTTCCCTTTCAATAACCTAATGAGATAGCTATATTATTTTATCTCTCTTTTAAATATAAGAAAATTAAGGTTTTGCTATATTGCTATCAACAAACAAAAATGTGAATTCACAATTTGTTCTAGAGTCAGATATTGGATGAGAGATTCTGGGAGGGGTTTTCTTGCTGTTAAAAGGGGAAACAAGGACTTTGTTACATGGGAACATAAAGCCTGGAGGAGCTGTAGCCACCTTATAACCATAAAGACAGCAGCTGATTCACTGAAGAAGGCAAAGGTTAAAAATGAAAGAACTTGAGTCCACATGACATTGCTGAAGCCTTGAATTATCCAATCTCGTAATAATCACCCTACTTCCAGGGCTTCTGTTATGTGAGATAAGAAATGTTTCTCAGTTTTCAAGTCACTCTTAATTGTATCTTATATTTCTTACAGAAAAATATACCACCAGATGCGGGGAAACTGCTCTAGGCTCCTTATGATCAGTAATTGGATTCTTGGCACTGATAAAAGAGTGCCAAGAGAGGCAAGGAAAAGTTTAAAGTTAAATATGATTTTTATTGGTCCTCTGTCTTTGAAGCCAAACTACACAGACACTTAAGTTTCTAAATGGGAACATACGTGGGAAATTAAATCAGTCGTTTTCTCTGCTTTCCTCCTAAAGAAACAAGTCCAAGTTTTTGCCATTATCCTTGACCATCAGTCTTACATTCTTTAAGTTATATTAGACACTTCTTTATCTTTCAAATCCTGACAAACATCAGCAAATAACAGTTACAAGCTTGGGTTCTGAACTCTGACAGCATTCAAGTTCAGGCCTCCTACCTAGTACCATGCCAGGCCATACTGGAGGAAGAGACAGAAGGAAAATTCAGTAATAATAATCCTGTCTTTATTTAAATTTTGATATTTTATTCATCGCAGATTTTTGAATTAACTTTGAAATTTTAAATATTGCATTAAAATAATATACATCTTAAATACTGAGTTTTTCCGAGTCCTTCTATTTTGCACTCAACGCGAGTGCGTCACTCACCTCAGGCTAGTCCTGGTGCTCACCCCATGGGTAGCTGTATGATGTTGAGAAGATCAACTTTTTCCATGTCTGTAAACTTCATTGATGCTTATGCTTTTCCAAAGTCACTATTCTAAAGTCACCCCTTCATACCTGTTATCTTTATATTCAGCTTTCTCATATTCCAATTTATAACATACCCAGTTCTGGCAAACAGTATTATAGAGTGGGAAAAAATGTTTTTTTTCTGCGCTTTAGTTTGCTGAACTGTAAAATGACAATAAGAGTAATAATACTTATCTCACAAGGTTGTTATGATTATTATATCAGATAATACATTTGAAGCACCCAGTATGGTGCCTGGTAATAAATGTCAGTGCGGAGAAACAAGCAAGATTGTCTTTGAATCTTGAATGAGCCAGAGGTTCTTTTCCATTTGCTAGCTGGGGCAGTGGCTTTTCCTCCCCTTAGCAACAAGCTCTGTGTATGATCTCAGCTTCAGCTCAGGTCTCCAAATACTGCACAACAGTCATTTCCATAGCCCCCTACATCTCTGAGTCCTAAATTCCCACTGCATGGTATCCATTCCCAAAGGAATTATCCTCCCAACTCTAAGCTGCCCTCATGCATATCTTATCAGAAGAAACAGCAACTCAGAGGTGGGGTAGATTTGATCATCTGCATTTGTCTGAGCCACTCCAAAGGATGGTGATTGAAGAGGAATCCCAGGCATCTTCTGACCCTTTTGCCCATGAGTCTCTGCCTGCACCAGATGGTATTTACTGAAATTTACTCAGACTCACTGTATATAAACTCCTTGGTATAGAGCGCCTAAAGCAGAGTAAAGGAAATAGTAAATGTTATT